TGAAAGATTAATTAAAAAAACTAAAGTTAAAAAATGTTAGAAATATAAGTATCATTTTTAAAGTTCATTAAGAAATTCATTTAACCAAACCTAATTTAAACAATGGTCAAATTAAACTTCAAACAATAAACTTGTATGTTTGTAACACCACTGTTTTAACAGAAACCTAGGGAGATATATTGTTTAAAATATAATAAAATGGTAATTAAAAATATAAAAGTGAATATAATAATTAATGTAGGTGGTCTACATCTTCTGTGATGGTCTTCGTTTCCACTCTATTATTATTATTATTCAGATCAAATCAGAAATCACACCATAGCAAAAAGTGGAGTGGGATTTTACTTTGTTGAATCTAGTGTTGTAATGTGCTTTGCATGTATAGTCAAATCGCATGCAGTTTTAGGTCTAAAGAATATTTAGTTTCTAATGGCTGATTAATGCTTTTCCTTTGCAAACACGTAAAACACAACACGCAGGAGGAAGATTCTTTTTGACTTTGTTCCAAATATTATTACATGGCTGACCAATGTTGTAAGGAAACAGATAACTTAAACTACGATTTAAAGATGATAGTGATTTTATACGTGATGAACTTTGCCACTATTATTTTGGAAAAACAATTTAAAATGGATCCATGTCTGACAAAAGGAACATTGTTGATGGAATCTGTGTCTATTCTGTTTGACAATATACTAAAAATTATGATACTTCTTTATAAATGCTGTCAAAATTCTTCTGAAATTTATAAATACAACTCATGTCAAGTTTTATGTAATTGTCTGCTTTAAGTTATTTTTTGGAACTCAGATTCGACTTTCATTCTTAAAAATTGTTCTGTAGATTAAAAAAATAAATATTTATAGATTATTTTTAATCTCTTTAGATACTAAAAATATAACAGGAGAAAAAAAAAGTTCACAATAAGATTCATATGGTGAAGCATCATTTTGAAAATTCGTTCAAAAAATAGACTGAAGAACAAAACAGGGTTCGTTCTTTTCTATATGCAAGTATGAGTAGAAAGACAATAGAAAGTAGAAAACAAAGAAACAAAGATGCACCTTTCCGTGGAATTTGTAAGCTTTCGGCTACTGATTGACTGGCCCATATTATCATGTGCATGTGTCTTCAATGGTGCCAAGCCAAGTTGATATTAATTGATATATCATATGAACAAGTAACTACAATGTCTTCTACACACCAACTCGTTTTTCAATCGATCATTCTCAAAATTTTCAATATCCATGCATGAATTAATATGTTCTTATTTACGTACCCATCAACCTGTTTAGTAAGTCCCTCCTCTGCTAATTTCCTGTAACATTCTAACAGATGACTCTGCTATTATTTGGAATAATCTTGTATATTGTAAGCACTTTTTTACATGCTGGATTTTTTGGAATGAGAAAAAGGAAGTTGATTTTTTGAAGTAAATGAAAAAAAAAAAAAAGTTTCAAAAGTAGGTCAGACTTAGTATCTGGCATAGTGTTGATAAGGGTATCTGACATGTTGAAACTCCTACTACCAACATGGTAGCAGATATTTTTTGCCATCATGTTGCCATGCTCCTTGTGTAACACTGCTGCTTCTGTTATTTATGTCCCATCCTACTGACAAATTAAGTGATTCACATAGAAGCCAACCAAACATGATAAAATATATGGTTTAGATCCTGCTTCTCCAATTATTATCACTTCCTCCAATCATTGACCTCCCTTGCACACTTATATCATCACTCTTTTCACATTTGGACAATCAATTAAACCAGTCCCACATTGCTTGCAGAACATGCTATGTTCATTCCACTCCCCTGACATGACATGCCATGCCTTCATCTCATGTAAACAACCAATTGAATACTCCAATTAAATCTGATTTGGTTTTTCAAAGGTATGCCATCCATATACGTTTGGTCATGCAATGTAAGGACATTTCTGGAATCATATTCAAGACATGAGTAACTGTATTACAGGTGAACCAGCACCGTCCATTACATGCTAGTGGCTATAATAAAGTTCATGTCCTTTATTCACCAAGCATAAGGTTCAGAATATGGTGTTCAAAACTGAGTCAAATCATTGTAAAAACCGTTACACCTGAACAGGGGAAAAAATACTTTAGGGTATAATTAAAAGAGAGATGGTTTTGGAAAATCTACAATTAAACTTTTGTACAAGAAACTAGTTATCAAGTTGAAGAACAATTAGAATGAGGGACCTATGCTGCTTCCATGTCCTCAGTTTCCCACTTATTGAATGACTTAATGTGAAGATCTCGTGTAATTTGAGTGGTTGTGTCCAAGAAGTACAAAACAAATGATGTCAAGCAGCAACAAACAAACATGGGTATGGATCATAAATCCAAAGGACAAGAGGAAATGACAAGTAGAAGGCCCGCAAGCCAAGAGACCAAGATTAACTCCCTCTGTTCAAGGTTTTTGCACTGCATATTACATAGAAATACAACGAGGAAGTGAGATAGAGAGGCGCTTGATTGAAGAATTATGGGAGGTTTTCACCTAAACTAAACTATTTGACAATTGACAAAAAAGTACTAAACTAAACTTCAATGGGCAAGACACCTAAAGATAAGTATTCAAAAACTGTTACCAAGACAAACATTGTACAGGATAAAATGCAGAGAAAGAGAATACTGACAGCCATGATGGAAACAAAGAACCCATTGGTAACGAGACTTGGCATTCAAGCCAATGACAGTGCGAGAAGGGTAACGGATCATAGAGTACAGAAGACAAACGTGATATATTCCCAACCCCAACAAACCTAGTGGCACCACTACGTAGTCTAATTCCTGTACTTGCATGCTTCTTCTTCAAACTCCAAACTTTACCTTTCACTACATCATAACATGACCAACACTACCCCCTCCAAATTTATAACAGTGGAATTCAAATTAGTTACCCTTACTTTCACTCATACCTATTACAACCCAACTTTCCACTCACAAAAAAGTTGTATTTTTTCCACCAAAACAAGTAAAGAGAAAGAGGCTCCCCCTTGCCTTTTCAACCAGCAAAGGGTTTATCAGGCTTATATTTACACAGTAAAAGAATCAGAAATTATTTTTTATTTATTTATAGAAATTAAACTACAGGGGAATTTACAACAACTCTCACGTGTTTCCAACCAATTGAGTTATAGCCTTTTGTGTAGATCATGGTTTGTATTTTGACAAGTAATATTTGTTCATCGTAAGTTAATTCTTAGATCCCTAAAGATTGAGAATGGTACAGCAAAAGTGACTGGGACAATTGTAATTAAATGGGTAAATCATTCAAGGAAGCAAATTGTAGTAAACATAAAGACAATAAACATGAATTCTACTACCATCAGCAAGAAACAAAAATTACTACCTCTCAGTGAACCCTTCTCACACCACTGGCACATGTTCATACTTCTCAGTAGGAACATACACATTTGTTACATTTATAAATAGTTATACGTGATTAACACCTCAGGTTTCACAGCAGACTCTACATCCTAAGTTCCTCTCTCTTTCCTGAATTAGTTACAATGAAGATCCCATGTGATTTTAGCTGTTGCATCCAAAAGGAACAAAACAAGTGAATCAAGCAGCAACATGGGTACATATAGGGAAATAAATTCAGAGGAAAACTAAATTTATGCCACCAGTGCTTCTAATCTTGAATCCTAAATAAGTTTGTAGTATTTACAAAATAAATGTATGATTACAATAAAGAGTAATACTCCATATTATTGAAAACCATTAAATATGTACATTCTTTTTTTAAGAAAATTATCATAAATGAGAGTTTAATTTTCATGCACTAATGTTGTAAAGACTTTTTAAATTGCCAATTTATAAAAGTCATCTTAAATATGATTTTGAAAATAATCATTACAAAAATTAACAGTTTTATTATACATGATGATAATTTTGTAGATGATGAGTGCATTTTAATTGAACTCTTAGAATTATTTCATTTTAAATCTAATCATTGTACTGTTATGTTATCTGCAATCAACTAGACAGTATCATTCTGAAAGCGGCCATTTGCCAAGAACAGGAAAAGTTTTGGCACATAGATTCATTTCGGATTAGTATGCTAAGAAAGATATGGCAGGCTATGGAAGACGGGTATCTGATAGGTTAGCAAGCCTATAGGATAACAGATATTTGTAGCTGATATTTTTTTGCCATCATGCTGCCATGGTCATGCAAAACTGTTCTTTTATGTATGTCCCATCCTACCCACAAATTAAGTGATTCATGTAGAATCCAACCAAACAAGATAAAATATATGGTTTTTGCATACATATATCTCTCTTTTCACATTTGGACAATCAATTAAACCAGTCTCACACTGCTTGGAGAACATGTTATGTTCATTCCACCATGACATGACATGCCTTTATCTAATATAAACCAGTTTATTAGTGAAATCTGATTTGGTGTCTAAAAATATGCCATCCATATCTACTTGGCCAAGCAATTAAAGGACTCTTTTGGAATCGTATTCAAGACAAAAGTAACTGTTTATAGGAGAACGAGCATTGTCCACTACATGCAAGTGGCACTGATAAAGTTCATGTTCTTTATTCACCACATAAGGTTCAGAAGGTTCAGTTTTCCAAATCAAATCAAGCCATTGTAATAACAATTGCATTGAAACAAACTGCACTGTAAGAGCTTGGTTTAATTTAGTTCAGATTTGTATCATTGGATTGTACTACACTCAAACTAAACAAAACTACTTGTTAGTTTTATGTTCAATTATGGTGACTTTTCTTTCAAAAATTGAATCAAATTGTATTACCAACCCCTCTAATTAAGAATTAACAATTTTTATCCAGCCAAAAACAATTTCTCCCTTCAAAAACAGGGAAAAGAATACTTGAATATATTACACATACTTTTCGACGAATATTACACCATAATTAACCAATAGTAGTATCATCACATTAGTATAGAAAACCTATAATTGAACTTTACTACAAGCTAAAAGATTATCAAGTTCAAGGACAGTCATAATGCTGAAACGAGGCTGCTTCCGTGCCCTCAGTTTCCCTCTTATTGAATGACTTAGTGTGAAGATCTCGTGTGATTTGAGTGGTCGTGTCCAAGAAGTACAAAATAAATGATGTCAAGCAGGAACAAGCAAACATAGGTATTGGCCCATAAATCCAAAGGACTAGAGGAAATGAAAAGTAGAAGGCCCGCAAGCCTAGAGACCAAGAATAACTCCCTCGGTTTAAGGACTTTGCAACATATTCAATAAAATCCTTTTGGCCTTTCAGTGCATGTGTGGTGATCAAGAAGCTCACTTGTGCATAGTATCTGATAGATTGCACATTACATAGAAACGCAACAAGGAAGCATAGTGAGATGGAGAGGCGTTTGATTGAAGAATTAAGGGAACTTTTGTTTCCATAAACTAATTTTGTATCTGATTCATAGTTTGCAAAAACGCCAATAAGTGAACTAAGAGTGATTGCTGTTGTAGCAAGAAGAGTGGATGCCATGATATTGTTGCGGATTGTTTGAACTCCCAAAACGCCATTTTTCAAGGGATCCTGAAAACAATGCAAGGGAGTTTGTTAAGGAAACAATTGTCTCAGTAAATAAAATTGCACCATACTTGCCAAAATGCAGACAACTGTCTCAGTAAATACTAGGCATATTAACAACAACCCATTCTTTGTTCTGAAAACAATTAATCATAAGATAAAATAATGGAGTAGCAACACAAGGAAGCACACTCGGTGACATCACGCTCAATCTTAGTGAAATTGAATCCTCTATTGACAGTTGACAGTAACAGAAATGTGAATCTTTTAACAACACTCTCCAGAACTCATGGATTTATTAGTCGTGCAAACTTCAAAGTTATGAAACTATTGAAGGCGAGCAGGAACTAATGAAACTTCCTTTCAGAGATGATTCATAAATGCAATTCTTCAATTTCCAATAAAATAACTAAAGCATTATAACAACGTGGAAACTAGCTTCCAATAGAGACAAAAGAACAAAAAATCTAGAAAACAAGTATTATTACTGGATTTGCACAGCACAGTAAATGATAAAAAGTATTAAACTAAAATTCTATTAAGATAGACACCAAAAGACAAATATTCAAAATTGTTTTTCTACAAGATAAACTGTCTTTATGAATAAGAACAGCACATGCACAACTGCGAATCTGGGAGTGAGAGACAGCATGTTAGTAGTTGGGTTTGAACTTAACTCAACTCTAAAAGCTAGCTCAAGAGGTAGATACCCCAAAATTCTATTAACAGATTGTTACCAAAAGACAAATATTCAAAACTGTTACTGTACAAGATAAGTAGTCTTTATGAGTAAGAACAGCACGTGCAGTTACAGATCGCAGTAAGAGACAACATCGTAGCATTTAGGCTTGCACCTAACTCAATCCCAAAAGTTAGCCTAAAGTTCTATTAACAGGTAGTAACCTAAAGACAAATATTCAAAACTGTTATGTTACAAGATAAACTATCTTTATGAGTAAGAACAACATATTCACAGCTTCACATCTGAGTGAGAAACAACCTATTCATATTTGTGTTTGGGTCTAATTCAACACCAATATCTAGTAAAAAGTTCTATTAACCGAGAGACAAATATTCAAAACGGTCATTGTACAAGATAAATGGTCTAATTCAATATGTTAGCATTTGGTTTTGAGCCCAATTCCCATAACTTCTAAAAACTACTTTTGTCATATTACTGATCGAAGTGAGATCTTTAACACACTCTTCCGTCAAGAATTGAATGTCTATAGATAGTCTAATAACAAGTGACTGAATAAGTCCAACAAATAGTATTAAGATAGGTTTTCTGATAACATCTTAGAATTTAAGTTTAGGTCGTCTAATTCAATCCTAAAAACTAGCCAAAGAATTCAAGGTTATCCACCACTTACATAACTATTTTAGTAATATCACTGATCAGTGTAAAATCTCAACATAAGTGCCAAATCTCAAGAGATAAATAGTGAAAATGAGAGAGAGAGTACTGACAGCCATGATGGAAAGAACCCATTGGTAACGAGACTGGGCATTCAAGCCAATGACAGTGTGAGATGGGTAGCGGATCATAGTGCAGAGAAGCCACACGTGATAGATTCCCAACACCAACAGACCCAGAGGCACCAACACGTAGTCCAATTCACTTACTCGCATGCTGCCTCTTCAAACTGCAAACTTTACCTTTCACAAATCACCATTGATACCTCATAACATATCCAACACAACCGACACCAAAATTGTAATCTTAGTGAATTCAAATTGGTTTTCCTTTCCTGTCACTCATATCTTCCCTTGTCTATTACAACCCACCTTGATCTTTCCACTCACCAAACCTTTTCCTCCATAACGAGTAAAGATAAAGAGGCTCCCCTTGCTCTTTCAACTTGTAAAGTCTGCAAAATGTAAAATTTAATCCATCTTTTCTGATTGGGAATAAAAATTGGGAAACAGAAATTATTGCCAACAATATTTGTAAAGTTAATTATTTCTCAAACCTCACAAAAAAGGTGTCTATCCCTTTCCACCTCTCTCCACGTTGCCCAATTATGATTCGATTTAACTTTGGCTAAAGAAACTAAAAAAGAATTGAAATTGAGATAGAGATAAGATACGATTCCATGTGGTAGTTCTCTTAATACTTGTCAGGTCCAATTCAAGAAATGCTTATACATGCCACTAGCTTCAAATCACGTGTCATTTTGTTTCACACTAATAATCTACTTTGTTGCTTTGGGTATCATTTAATACGAGTGGGTATCCACACGATCAAAAACATCTGCTGATTTATAATTCTTGTAGTTACTGAATTTTCCCTCATAAACATACACAAATTGAATATTTCTTTTTCTTGTCACAAACAATTCTTGTAATTCATTGATATTAATATCGTTCGCAATAATATCAATATAGGTACGCTGAAAATTTTTCGAACACAGTGGCGATCGAACATGGAATTATTCGCTAAACCACTACGTTAATTATGGGTTATATATGCCTAATATGAATCTGTATTGAGGTTTAAGTCACCCTCTTTACCTAGAGTTTAAAAAGAAAATTTTGGTGAGTGTCTGACACAATCACCGAAAAGAAAAATCTGTTTTTGACTTTCTCCTTGTGTAAAAATATTTATGGTAAAAACTATTCAGAAATCTTTGTCCTTTCCAATTTAGAATTAGCTAGTGGTACAAAAGAAGTTTAATTATCTTATGTACATCATTAACTCACTTTTCTTGGTGTGATTTGTTTGTTTAAAGAAATAGAGAAACACTGAATTTCAACAGCCATAACGAATGGTGCTGATGTTTATGCCACTTTTAGTTTAATTTCTGTTCATGCAGTAATTTAATTTGTCTCCAAGTGTGTGGATCAGCGTAGCCACAGACACTAATCCCTCAAATATGTAAGCTCGAAATGATGCATGAATCATCATAAATATAATATTACAAATTCCAATTAAGTAATTAACAGCTGTCCTGCGTAGGTCAACTTAGATAGGCCTCCAACAAAGTTTAATCAAAGAAAAATCATTCCAACACAGGAGGAAAAATGGACTGTTCTTTTTGTTTCACTAATCACTCAACATTTATTCTTCACTAGTTCTTTTACTTCTGTTTTTGGTCTTCTTTCTATTCTCCGCTTTTCAATCTGATCTTCCAGCGATTTTTTGCTGCATAGGGGTTTGGTAAGAGAGGAAAACTCAAGAATCTATGGCTGCTTCTATGGTTTGCTATCATATGGTCCATGTGGCGACAACTTGACAGAATACCACAAGTCTAGTTATCCAAACATGACAGTGCAGACCCCTTCATGAACATGACTAAACAAATTGTTGATTTTCCATGATAAAATTTGTTTTACAAGAGTGAAGGATTGAATGGTACAGCAAAAATGATTGGGACAATTGTAAGGAAGTACATGTGAGAGTTCATCCCAAGGAAGTGATATGAAACTAGGACAAAGAAAACTAATTCTACTACCAGTAAGCAAAAATGACTAGCTAGTGCTCTCATTGAATCCTTCTATCACCCCTGCGACATGATTATACTTCTCATACATGATTGACATCTGAGTTTTGACACAAATTGTTTCCAGGTAAAGGATGATAATCAGGTTCCAGAGCAGACTCTACATCTCGAGTTCCCCTCTCTTTCCTGAATGAGTTACTACTATGAAGATTCCGCGTGATTTTGGCTGTTGTATCCAAGAAGAACAAAACAAGGGATGTCAAGCAGCAGCATGTAAACATGGGTATGGGCCCATAGATCCAGAGGAAGAAAGCAAATGACAAGTAAAATGCTCGAAGTCCAATAGACCAAGCATGATTCCCACGATTCAAAGTCACAGAAATATATTCCATATACTCCCTTTTGTCTCTGATTGTTGGAGCAGTGATCAAGAAACTGACATGGCAGTAGTATCTGATGGACTGCACATTGCATAAAAATGCAATAAGGAAGCAAATGGTGACAGAAATATGTTTGATTGAAGTACGACCATAAGGAATGAGAGGCGTGTCATCACTCCATGAACTGCTAGCAAAAATACCAATAAGTGAACTGAGTGTGATGGCTGTTGTAGATAGAAGAGTAGATGCCATGATATTGTTGCGAATAGTTTGAACTGCCAAAACCCCATTCTTCATTGGATCCTGAAAATATAGCCATGAAATCAATTCAAGAACTTATTTTCACATCTTCTCAAACTGATTTTATATAGCAAGCGGTTTGATGGGAGAAGGAATGCAAGTAAAAGACAGTGAATGTCGCATAAAACTATATCCTTTAAAGGCATAAATATGTCAACCAAATATGCAATAGCGGCAAGAGTCCATGATAACATAGTCAGTTAGGATATTCAGCCAAAAACAAGTCTTCTACCACATTCATATGGACCATACCAGTGAGCAATAAATACTATGTTGTAAGGAAAGAACATAAACACAACAGTGAGACATTAGTAGCCTAAAGTTCAGGATGTGTTCATCTTTAAGTTCTGAATCTTCCGAGTTTTTTTTTTTATTGTATTTTTAAGTTGAGTCTTCTGAGATTTTCTTTTCTCACTATCTATCATTATTGTTTGTAAGTGTATAAAACCATGCGGTAGCAGTTGTTTAATGATTTTATTATTATCAACTTTCAGCCATCTCTTTCAGTTTCACAACGTAGTGCTTGACCATTTCAAATTATGAGTAGAGAAGTCAAACAAGAAAGCTTTCTAATCTTGAAATAGAACAAGAGAGGATTGAGAGAAAAACAATAAAAAAATGAACCAAATGGGAAGAAACATAGGATATGCTTGTTTGGAGTGAAAAATAGGATGGAGGGAAAGAAACCAATGTCATTTCAGCCTCAATTCTTTGCCATGATTTGATTCAATGAATTACAACTTGCCACATACTGTCAACAAGAAGTTTAGTTCCCCTATAAATCCTATGTAAGAAACCTATCACTTGAGTGATTCATCCAACAACCAAGCACTGTCAACAGGCTCAAATTAATTCACATGCATTCATAAGGCTATCCACTTGCTTCATTTAGACAATGACAGAAAGGGGAATTAAGAATATGTTGTTGAACTTGCCTCAGTAACCTCTAGAAAGAGGAAAACAATGAGGCTTAACTTTTTTTTTACTCTAACAAGAAGAATCGTCTCAAACTACCTAAACTCGTGGATTCCTCACTAATACCAAGGAAACAGTAAACTTTAAGTAGATTGCCAAATGACCAGCCAATAAGAATGATAGGTAAAGCTACCACCAATTTCATATCAAAACGACAGAAGCCTAACCACAAAATTCATTACAAATGAGAACACTAATTCAAACACCAGAGATTTTATTGTAAATTGCACACCCTATATTTCATAGAACAAGATAATCACTCAACACAAGTGTGAGGTGAAACAATAAGCCACTACTTAAATTATCAGATCTGAAGCACATGACTGGATAATTTTTTTAACACATGATGTTCAGAAACAATCCTGTTCAAAAGTTGATAAGCATTAACTGTTTGCATCTTTTCCAGTAAACATCCGAATTTTAGTTCTGCATGTTATGTGGGCCTACTAGTCCCTTGGTATGCCAAGGGATAGTTGCTGAATATTAAGGACAACACTGATTTTATCCAAAAGAAACAATTTTTCAGTAAACTATCAATGACCCAACTATTTTGTAATCAATATCTTGTAACCACATACTCAAAGCATGAACTTTTAGTTGTTATGAATCGAGAGAGAGAGAGAAAAAAAAAAAGTGATGGTGTGAAGTACTCACACTCATCATGGCAAGAACCCACTGATGACGAGACTCGGCATTAAGGCCGATAACAGTTCGAACAGGGTTGTGTACGATGTGGTAGACAAGCCAGATATGGTATATGAAGAACACCAACAGACCCAATGGCACCAACACAAACTCAAACTGCTCCTTCTCCATGCCACCAACAACACTTGCTTTGGTACGAGGAATTTGGAAATTGAAAAGGCTTTTGACAATGAATGATTCATTCACTCATTAACTAAAGTATATCTATCTATCTGTCTGGTCTTAAACCGAAATTGAAAGCCGTCACATTCATCTCATTATGACCATACAAAAGGGTGAAAGTAAAAGGTAACAGTTATTCATTCACTGCCCATGGATGGATGTGAATCTAAGGTATCAGATGAGATGTGAGAGAAAGTTTGAAGTATATGCGTCCACATGAATCATGATGCTGTTGTCACCACTTGCCAGTGTCCACAGACACTTGTCCATGCTTTACATTTTGATAGCTGCATCCACCCAGAAAACTAAAATTGTTTATTGTTGCAAACTAAAATTATATAATACGTTTAAAAACGGTGGGATAGGACTGAGTCAAGGATGTATATTTTATAATCGTAGATTAATGAATTTTATAAGTTTGTTATTTGATAATAATTATCTTTTAAGAATAAATACATAACTTTTGTTTTATCTGATTATAAATATGTTCTATCTTTTAAAATATATTTTTTGTTAATATATGAGAGTGAAATTGGAAAGAAAATATTAATGAATTGTGGTGACACAGTGAATGAATAACCTTTTGTCTCTACGCATTATCTGATGGCCAACCTTTCTGGTCTTCGAACTGACACTCTATAATTAGGAGAAAAGCAACAAAATAGTACAATTTTTTAAAACAATCATCGATTTGAAAAATTATGTAAATGGTACGTTATGATTGATAGAACGATCAAATATTATTTCAATTTCTTTATACACTTTTAATATTTTTTTATTTTTTATTTTTAGTAAAATTTTATCACTTAACACGATTTTATTTTTTATATATATTTAATAATTATTTATATTTATTTATTATTAATATTAAATTTATTATATATAAATAAAATAATTAATATTTATTATTATGAATATTATTGTCATTAATTATAATAATATTAATAATTATAATAAATAATAAATATTAATTATTTTATTTTTATTTTTATCTTTAATATTATTTTTTTATTATTAATATAAATATAAATATTATTTTATTTATATTTTTATCTTTAATGATAAATTTTATAATAATATTTACATTAAAAATTTAAAAAAATCAATAAATAATAATTATTGTTATTAATATTAACTAAAGAATTAAGATTAAAAAAATAAAAGAAATTAGTAACTAAAATTTTCATTAATACTTATTATTATTATTATATTTATTACTTTACAGTTTAATTTAATTATTATAATGATAATTGTAATTATTTAGCTAATAACATAAAAATAGTTTTTTTATTTTCTAATGTAATTATTATTATAAAATTTATTATCAGTAATAAAATTAATAATGATATAATAATAACATTTATGTAAAAATAATATTAAAGATAAAAACATTATAAATAAAATAATTAATAATTATTATTATTATTATTATTTTTATTATTATTTTTATATTTATTACTTATTAACTAAATAATTACAATTATTATTTTATATTATAATTATCATTATTAATACTTTATTAAATTCTAAAGCAATAAATATAATATTAAAGATAAAAATATTATAAATAAAATAATTAATATTTATTTTTATTATTATATTTATTATTTATTATAATTATTATATATATAATGAAATCAGACTAAATAGCATAATTTAATTAAAATAAAAAATAAAAATGATTAAAAATAAATAAATGACTGAAATTATGATAACATGATTTTTTTTACCCACCTAATTTCTTTTAAAATTTCTCAAATCAATAATTTTTGTTTAAAATTACACCGATGCTTATCTATTATAAGGGTGTTTTTCTATTATAAGGGAAAAGTGTCAAAATTTGATAATAACAAATTTCAGCATCAACTTCATTCACCACTTAATAATGACTAAACCGTTGAAGACCTTAATCTTGAAAAAAAATTAATCACTCTAAAGGTAAACTGAGTTATTTTAAATGTTAATAAGAAAATTATTGGTTGATACTTACGTGGATATGCATAATAATAAATCTTGTATGTATTAATTATGATATTAATCATTTTAGTTTAAGAAAGAGAGATTGAAAATATATTTTACATAATCAATCTTTTGTATATTTATATAAATATTACAGTAATATTAAATGTTACAATAAAAGGACTAAGATAATGATAAAAAGTAAAAATATAAAAATATAAAAAATAAAAAAAAGATAAATTTGATAACATTCTATAGCTACAAGAAACCAAGTTAACTCATTTAATTGTCAAATAATTGATTTCTTGGCAACATCATTTCATTATATGCTAAAATAATCAAAATAAAAAAGAATCCGTAAACTGCAAAAGATGCCAAACAGATCATACAATAGAATATGTATATCCATGTTGTCAACATCTGATTTTGCTGTTAATAAATATCAACAACTTCTCATTCTACAATCAAGTAGAAATTTCTGGCTTATCCTAGCTCCGGGTTTATTTATTGTATCAATATAACAAAACAAAAGAAGGAACTAGAGAAGAACAATTCCAACTAATATGCAGTTGAAGTCTTGAAGTGTGTAAGAACTTCAACTTCAGTCAGCAGCTTTTCCTAAGGAGGTGAACTTCAACCTGTAAATAAGGAAAATGAATGGTGAACCAAATAAAATTGACACAGCCTAACCAGAAGATTAACTACAAAAAAAAAATATATGTATATAAACAAACCATGACAATTTCAGGAAAACACATTGTTGAACAATTGATTGTACTGTTTCTGTAATTTACCTGATAAGGGGTTTCCGCTGTGCCACAGGTGCAGGATTCCCACTTAATAATGGTGGTGCTGTCAGCTCCACCGGCTACAAACATGAAAGGGGGGAAGAGAGAAAGTAATTGTCAGAACAACTTCAATTCCTTAAGCCTATTCAACGGTACAGAAATCATGTAATTTGCACACAAACTCACTCAATAACTGGAAATATAGGGTGTTTCTGTTTGTGTTTAAGAATAATTACTGTAAAAAATTAGAAACAGAAAAAAAAAAAAAAAAAAAAAAAAACAGTTGCAGAATGATTGAAATTTTGTATATTTATGTTAAAAGGTTAACCTCGAGCTCTTCTGATCCCCCATTTGAGTATAAACAAGTTGCAGAAGCAGTTTCCCTCTTAGGAATAATTGGTTCTGCAGCCTCTGGGTTTGAAAAGTCCAAGTTGCTGTTTATCATGTTGCCACCGAAATCTTTGACTTGATTTCTGTACTCAAGATCATCTTCAAGTTCTTCAGGTTCCTCTGAAAAGACTTGGTGTGAATCATATGGACCACAGATAATCTTCTCAATGGCTAGCTTTTCAGCTTCTTCAGAACTAGATGTATCCTTGGCAGTAAGTGTTGCATAAACTTGTAAGTTACTTCTCACTGATGCATTGGTTTCCCTGTCCTCAGGACACTCCCATGAAGATTTCAAATCAAGTTTCTCACTCTGTTGTTCACTCGTACTATTGATTTCTGAGTCATTACATTTCACAGAACTAGCAACGCTAATAAGATTTCCATCTTCAAGAACTTCCCTGCTGCAGGGAGGCAAAGATGCATGGGACTTGGAATTTCTCAGGCTATCCACACTATCTTCTGCTAGTTTTCTCTTCCTATCATCGTTTGCTCCTAATACAACCACTTTGCCTTCTTGAGACTGTTCTGCTTGACCATGGCCAGAAACACTTAATTCTGAACTTCGCTTACTCTCCCAAGTTACTTTAGATGGGTGAGAAGGTCGAACACCTCCAGGAAATACGAAGGTGGGTATATTACGACGTATCACATGGGAGACATGGATATCCATTCGAGGTTTCCACAGAGTGTACACGTTGACAGAATGCTTAAATTCTTCAACAGTTAGTCTTATATCAAACTGCTCACCACCACTGACAGGAACCCCTAGGTTACGTTGCAGTCCCATGAAGTAGGAACAGTGGAAAGGTCTGGATTTGTCTGGAAAGTCACCAGGATGTGGATGACACTGAAGCCTACCATAAGTGTGCCTCTCAATCTAGATGTTTAGAGAACATTTAAATTAGGTTACAAGAAAATAAATAGATGTGAGAACAAAATAAGTGAAACAACAAACATTGACAATGTCATACTTTCAATGTCAACTGGCGCAGACGAGACTCAACCCAGCCTTTCCATTTTCTAAGATCGTCAGCATTCTCTGCTGATATGTCTATCTGCAAATAATTCTTATAAGCTTCAAAAAAGGGGTAAGGCTCAAAAAGAGTGCCCCAATCAGCCTTGTTAGCCTCCATAACCTAAAAATATCAGAGACTAAAATTAAGTAACTCTAATATCACAATAAGTGTACAAATCATATTAGACTGTCAAACATGAGAAAGTGAACAGCCAGCAAGAAATTGTTGTTTCCCTGGTAATGGCATTCAGTCTCGTTATGAAGGCTTCAATTCAATTCAGGGTGTACCACTTTGGTTAAAACATAAAGCCAAAAAATTTGAAACAATACATTGGGCCTTACCATTTTATAATAAAGAATCATACCTCACATATTTCATTTCCCCTCTGAAATTCCTCCATCATAATACGCAATGTACTTGAGGACACATTGTAGCTAGAATTCATGCAAGGATAAGCAGGAGTAATTATTGGCATTAGATGGAATCTATCCTTGGGATATCTTCTAGGATCCCACACTTGAAGTCCAAGTGATCCCTTGTCAATAGCACAAAGCATTACTGGATTCGGCCAATGCCATTGAGAATATACCCTGAAGAATCGAGACACTAACATATTAGGGAGTGCATTAGGAAATAGCTGGCATATTCGAGCAGCAAGCAATGCCCAGTTTATACCACCAAGAAAACCTGTAACCTGCCCATAACAAATATCAGGATAAGCAAATTTGTAAACCAGCATGTTAGAAATAAATAACAGTGAAGAAGTTGGAGCCAAAACAGAAAAAGAACCAAACACTACACTAGGGTAATAGCTCTGCTATACATTCGAGTAAACACCCCGACGCTTTGCCCAAAACTTCATGCACCTCAATGCTGTACGAAAATTCTGCACTTCAGAAACAAGAACAGTCAATTATAAGGAAGTGACAGAAAGATGAACAAAAACATTTATGTGCACCACCTGAATATTTGGAACCAGACGCAGGACTTGATCAGTCACTCTACAACCATTAAGACTACGAACAGTTTGCTCATCTGCATTTTGTAATATTGACTCCTGTGATATATCCAAGTCCTGTCCCACAAACAGAAGCTGGAATCACTAAGAAGTAAATTAAAGGTAAATACAATTTATACTCTAAAACTAGATTCAAGTAAAATGAAGACATAACACATGCACAGAGTATTTCACATATCGAGAAGATTTGTTTTCAAATGTGTCAAATGGAACAACTTCAAACTATTAATCTTGCTCAAAACCCTTACTTCAGGAATAACCCACAAAGATAATTTTGCATAGAGAAGATCAATCGAAACACCATTGAACTTGAGCCGCATCACTGGTACATGAGCATCGGGCACAGGGTGCAACTCTGTCACTTCTGGCATCTCAGATAGCATCTTATGCAGCTCACCAAAGAAATCTTCCTAAGGACAATTTAAATAACAGTTTAGCTGATGGAATATATGACCTGAAAAACCTACATTTACACCAAAAATGGTATGATATATCATACATCTCTGGATGCATGTCTCGGCCCCACACAAAGAGTGTCTATATCTGCTCCAGGTCCATGTACCTACAAAATTTGAATGAAACTGGTAAATTAATGAAACAAAAAAGACAGAAAAGACAGTTGTAATAAATTTATTGGAGCTGCAACTAATATTTGCAGTTTTCCACAATTTTGATCATTGAATGAGATAGAATACAAGATAAAAATACAGCATAATTCTTCTACAGTGGCAGCTTGCCATATGACAACACAATCCTAATCGATAGATATTCAAGTATTGCGCTTAAAGAGCAAAGCACAGATAAGTACACAAGCATGAGTTTGAATGCAAATAGGAAATATATGGAAGGTAAAAAGGACAGCCTCGTACCCCAAGTCGATATGAGCCAAAAGTGAAAATCTTGGCATTTGCTTCTTGCACCAGTTGTTCATTTAGTCCCTTAGCACGGCTAATGTTTTTGACCCAAATCTTCACAATCTAATTCATATTACCATAGCACATCCTCAGTTTCCTTTGTATGGGATCACACAGATTTAACAAGTGCAATCAGCAAAATAAATTCAACCTGGTCTAGCCTACCAAGCACTTCCTCCCTACTAACCGATTCCTTCTGATTCTCATACAAGCCAGCATCTTCCAAGTACTGAACAACCAGAAATCCATATTCAGCACAGTAACAATGTTGAAAGCTCAAAAAGAAAAAAAAATCACAATAATCGAGACCTTCTCAAGTTCACGTGTCTTTAACACATCATAATCAGTTGGTCCACCCAATGAGATGGGTTCTGTTATGCCTAACCGTTGCTGCTGCGCATTATTGAGATTGCTGAATCCGGGGCTCCCCATCAATACTTTGATACAGTTTTTTTTATTATGATAAAAAAAAAATTGCATATTCTCTTTCAATGATACGAAAGCTGTAACAGTTTAGAGTTATTCATAATATTTTACGATGTTTCTATTTCCAACAAAATGAAGCAAACGAGAAGAATAACAAAAGCAAAAACAAACTATAACAATATTATGCAGATAATAGTTGATTGTACAGAAATAGGGGTGAACAATTCAAAGCTATAATCTTTGAACATAATAGTATGAGGGGGAATAATTACAAAGGCAGCCAGCAAAAGTTCCTTCAAAAAACTAATACAAAAACGGAGTACAAGCTGCTGTGGAGTTCTCAAATTGAAATTAGGAGCGAAAACCTAAGCAACAAAATCAGAAGAAAGTAATGAAGAAAACATGGGATGCGATTAGAAGCGGCACGGTGAAGTGTTGAGAACGTGGCTGTAGAAGCTGAGTCGTGGTTGATTATTGCACCCGCCAAATCTTCTACTCGAACGAAAACGACCACAGTCAATTCCACAATGCAGATATTAAGAGAGAGTGTGGTGAGGAATCCAAATGCGTGTTTTGGTACCCAAGATGCTGAAAGTTTCCACCCTCCACGAAAAATGGAAGATCAAAATAAAGGCGAAATTTTTAGATTTTACCAATTATCTTTTAATTTACACACGATTTCATATTTTAAAGAAATTAATTTAATTTTTCACATTTCAAAAAGAATCAAATTTTTTTTCATTTTAAAATTAATTTTGTTACTAATTTAAAAGCCGCTACAGATTTAATTCTGCCAGAAAAAAGTTCATAAAATTTTATGATATAATTGGAAAGTACTTATTAAAAATATTTATGATATAAAAATAAATATAAAACTATATATTTCAAAATAATTAAAAACATTTAACATAAGTCAACAATACGGTGTCAAAGTCACTCAATCCGGCTCACACGGGTTCGCTCAACGACGAGTTAAACTCAAAACAAGTGAAGCTTAACCTGACTCACTTTTTGACGAGCAAGAAATTTTACAACTCGACTCAACCCACTAGCGGATTGGTGGATTAGGTGGATTGGCTCACTAACCCATATTTTTTTTATTTTTTAAATTATATAGAAACATTAGATGTAGAAACTTATGTTTTCTTCTTTTCTTTCTCAAAAATAACTGAAATTGACTTATTAGGTTTTTCATTAATAATAAAATTATCACCAATACAATTTACATTGACACTTTGATGTATTGTTTCATATTTCATATTTTAAATTAATTTAAAAGAAAGAAGTCAAAAATTCATATATTAAAGAGATATACGTATAAATCAATAACAAACAACAAATAATGTATAGATGCTATAATTTTGAAATAAAGATTCATCAATTCAATAGTTTAGGTTATGAAACAAATGTTTACCTTTCAAAACAATATAGTGGTTTAGGTTATGAAACAAATTCTTACCTTTGAAAACAATAGAGTGGACATGATATAGTGGTGCGGTGGATAAATAATAAGACAAGTGACTAAAGTGCAGTGGCAAATGTAATGATACAGAGAACAACTGATAACAAGTTTAAGTGAGGGTTTGGCTTCTCACGACATCCAAGGATAAAGATAAGACAAATCAATTAAAGATAAGACAAATCCATTAGGGTAGTAAAGTATTATAATTATTTTTAAAATTTAAAATAAATGATTACGTAAACCTGCAACTGTAATAAACCGTGTTAAGTAGTACAAATTTACTTTGGTGACGGTTATGAAGATCACAAACTAATTCTCAGTAAAAAAATATTGTAAAAATTCTCAGCGGGTATAATTATGCTATAATTAATTACCTGAAAAAGTGAAACTACAACATTCAAATTAAGTACACAACTTCCTATTACATAATGAGACAACATTATTAGAAAAAATAATCCATCATGTCTATAATTATCTTCAGTATTAATCCATGGTGTGCAGTGCATACTGTTGGGGCAGCCAAAAAAGTCCAAAAGAACCGATCTTGCTTTGTTGTGAGAGCTGTATCCACATTACTTTCCTCACCCAAAAAACCAACGAATCATAAACAAGTACTAAAATCTTTAGTTGTAAATTTTGTATGCTGTTTCCCATGTCCTGGATCTTCCTTTCTCACTTCCTACTCAATCAATCATAGGTGCAAGAATGCTTGAGGGAAAGTGAAACATTGATCTTCTCGGGATCCAAACTGATGGAACATTCAACCCTCTTGTAGTACTTTGGCTTCACCAATCTCCCAAGCACGTAAGCTCTGGATCGAATCACAAAGCTCAGTTTCAATCGCACAGGCACCGTAGGCATCCCCGTTGAGCTGCTCAAGCTAGCACCACTTCCATACAGAGGGATCTTGTTTCCCATCACTGTCACACTCACTAGTCTCTGACTCTTCCTTGACTGATAAAACTTCTTCAACTACATCAATCAAATTAAACTTAAGCAAAAATCACATTCATAAATTAATGTACATAAAAGTTAAAGGAATTAATTCATGTGAGTCTCACATTTCCAGTGGCAATCACAATTTCTGAATAGGACAGATCCAAAGGAGTGGATGTGACGTGGACTCCGAAGAATGTTCCAGTGTTTCGAAAAGTGAATTTGACGGTGGAATTCACGGTGATCATGTCGGTGGCTACGCCGGTGGAATCGGAACCGGCTTGAACTCTGAGATGGTCGAATTTTATGCTCTGTGAAATGACCACCCGGAAGGTAAAATCGAGAACTGAGGAAAACCCATTTCAGAGGAAGAAAAAAGAACAAGAATTGCGAAGAAAGCGAACCTTGATGAGGACATTGGGCTTCATGGGTCTGCTGGCGCCCCAGAGGATGAGAGCGAAGAGAGAGAAGAGGAGGAAGAAGCCCAGAACGAAGGCGAGGAAATAGTATCGGCGAGAGAGAGCGCGGTGGCGATCTTCGGTTTGGAGAAGACCTTCTTCTTCGATGACGTCGATGTCCTTGTTCCACGGTAGCTTGTGGTTGCGATGGTGGTGGTTGTTGATCTTTCTGGAACCGGAGAAACGGCTGGAGGAAGAGTGCGAGTGAGGAGGAGAACCCATGGGGCTGAGCACAGGCGTTGAATGCAACGACGTCGTCGTTTTCTCGCCATCATGGGAAGGGCTCTGAACGTAGTACACTGCTCGACGAGGAGACCTTGTGGTGGACGACGCGTCCAGGCTTGTGACCTCGGAGTCTGTCTTCGCATGGTGCATTTTAACCAATCTAACAACACAAAACGATGATCCTGTTGTGCAGTGTGTGTGTTTACGTGTGTGAGTGATGGATCGATCTGAAAGAAAGGTCCCAACAATGATGATATATGGTAGTAGTATTTAGCATCGGTGGTGATTTCTGATTAGATTATTAATTATTATTGGTTGAATTATTTATTATGGGATCAATTAAAAAAAAAAAAAAGGAAGAAAAACAATTGTGCTTTGACTAAGGTTAACGCCAAGGAAAAGTAAAAGGGACACGACATGAGACGAGAGAGGGGAAAAGTGAAAACGCGAATGGGTGGTTTATTAATTTTTGTTAGGTTGTGTTTGTTTGGGGATTATGGTTTGGAGTGTGGGAAAGAGGGAGTAATGGCCTCGACAGCTAAGTTACAGTTGTCACCAAACGACAAATAATAAGAATGTACTATGAAGGTTCTTGAAATGAATTCAAACAACATGTTACATGCACATGGACATCAATGGAGCTTCCATATAACACCTTCACTTTTTTCTTTTTTTTTTCCATTCATAAATTGTTTCTATGTAATAAAGTCATATCATTTTTCATAATTACAAAGAAAAAATTGTATAAAAAGATAATTAAATAATTATATAATAATAATGTTTTGTTACAAGGGTTTTGTGTCGGTGGGATAATATTAATAGTAATCAAATCAAAGTCTTAGTATATATTTTGTTAATGCCCTCTAATTATTTCAATATGGTCTTAGTATGAGAAAAATTAAAGTCAGATCTCTTAAAATAAAATATTAAATTTGAATTTCATGATTAAAAAATTTGTTTATAGAAACTAATGTAAATAATGAGATAAAAATAATTATAAATATTTATCATTTAATCACATAAACTTATTAAAACAACCAAGACCGTGAAAAAAAAAACGAATTCCAGTGGTCATATGATACGCATGAGCTTGTGGGACCCGCACCGACCCTGGCTCGTAGTGAAACTTTGTTGGATCAGCGAACTACTATTTCTATTAGTAAATTGCATAATTTAAAGAAATTTATATTTCCATTAAAAGAAAACTGTTTAGATTAATATGAAGTTTAAATTTAATCAATGAATCTAATACTGATATATAAAAGAGATATTTTGATGGAAATATTATTTAACTAAAGATTCTTTTTATATAATACTAGATTAATTGATATTTATTTAAATAAAAACAAGTTAATATAAGACATTAGGGCAGATTGAAACAACCCAAACTCATGCTATAAGAATACATTAGGTCTAATTTCTAGAATCAAAACATCAAAATCAACTTGGGAATAGAGAAGAGAATTAAACCCGTACCATGGAATCAACCTGTCCCTCGCTCGAATTTGACGAGAAAAACTCGAGTTGACCGGGGTGGTCGGTTCGGGTTTTTCCGCTTTAAAAGTCGGGGATGGGGTGTGGATGGGTAATGCAATCTCCACCCCGACCCCGACCTCATCTCCACCCCGACTTTATATGTAAATTTAAATTTTAAAATATTAATATTTTAAAACTATTTCATTTTCTTTTTCTATTACATATAAGGTTATTTTTTTATATTTCACCAATTTTTATTTTTCTTCTACCCACTTTTTAATTTTTTTTATCTTTTTCAATCTTTTATATCAATTAATTTATTATATTATTATTTCTCTTATCTTTCAGTTTTTCACATTTCCTTAATCTCTCCCATCAATTTGTTTTTTTTTTCAATCTTTTCAACCAATTTGATAAACACAAAGTTATTTTTTTTTCTTTATATTTTTTCTAAATATTTTACATAAATCTTAGTAGTAACTAATATTAGTTTATTTATAATTTATATTTATTATATTTCATTATGTCATATTTTTTTATCTTATTAAGCTTATTTATCATATATCAAATTTTATCTTAATAAAATAATTATATTTTAAAGGATTAGAAGGAATTAATAATTTAAACTTTTATTACTTCAAACTAATTAAATAAGAATTAACTTATTAAATATTTCCTTATAAACTATACATTTCATATTTTTAATGACAACTTAAAAATGAATTAACTTATATATATAATCAAATGTTTAAATACAAGTATTATAATAATAATGTTATAAATATTCAAATATTTGAATACAGTGTTATAATAATAATAATAATAATAATAATAATAATAATAATAATAATAATGTTATAAATATTAGATATATATATATAAATAAAAAATGATTAAATATTTCTTTTACATATATATTTTAATATAAATATAATAAATAAAAATGTATATTTAATTAATAATAATTATAAATTATAAATATTTATTTATATATAAAAATACATAGTAAAATTAATTTATTATAAATGTAATTATCTTTTTAAAAATAATATAAATCGGGGACGAGACGGGGCGGGAACCCGAAACCTAACGGGACTGGGATGGAGACTTAATTTCTAAGCCTTGCAGGGATCGGGAGCGGGGACGGGGATGATTAAAAAAAGTCGCGGACAGGAATCGAGGAGGCAAAACCCGGCCCCGTCCCGTCCCGTTGCCATGCCTACTTGGGATGAAAATAAGTTAAAGGAATGAGGTAGATCCTACACAGCCATAAGCAATAACAATTTTTGGATGAAAAATTCAAGTTAATTTGTAAAACTATCCTACTCCAGTTATACATATATGTTGTACATACACCCAAAGAGAAAATCATAACATATCCATTGTTTGAAATAAATTATTAAAGTTGCATTATTTTCTAACCCCCCACTTCCACTTATCACCAGTTGTAGGTGGTGCAGCTGGTTCTTTTTCCTTCCTGGATGGTACCTATAAAGCATAAATTCTCTAGTTATATTTTGTACAAAACTACAACATTTTAGAGACAAGTAGGAGACTATGCAAATGTGCCAAGTTACACTAGCATTATTAGTTTATGAGAAGGATGAAAATGAAAACAAAATGACCAACATATTCTTGTATAACATTTACCTCTTCGGTCTCATCCCAATCCAATGGTAAGAGCTTTTTTCTCTTCTCTTCAAAACACTCTGCACACCAGCTAGAACAATCTTTTTTAAACTTCACCATCTCTCTGAAAATAGAACTGTATAGAAAACAATGCAACCTTTATAGTCACTTCATCACTAACTAATGATGTATACAACACTAACAACCATTTTTTAACAGTGGAAGAAATGTTGTGTGCAAATGAAAGTTCTGTTTGGTTTGAATGATATCCTAAATTGTGAAGTCTAGTATACATCATTATGCAGATGTGAGCATTAAACATGCAGTAGCAGTAAAAAAGAGAAAGCACCTTCTGCACCACAAAATCAGGTTGACCCTGTGACCTGATGTTGTAGCTCTAGCACCATGGCGATGTCGACCATGATGAAGCACAGCTCTTCCAGGGGTATGGAAATAGTCAAAACTCTCCTGTTTTCAAATGATTATAAGAAATATATAATCCATGCAGTATTCAAATATCATATCATGAACATTGAACATATGTAGTATTCCTACCATGAACATTGAAAAACATTAAGCAACACATCTTCTTCCTAATTGCTTACCTTTGGATGACTTTTTGTATTTATGTGTTTATCACATCTCATGCCTCGGAAATAAAGTTCTCCTCCAGAAAATTGCTTCCCCAAACAAACATTCAAAGTTACTTCTGAATCATCAACATGGAAACCTGCAAGTGTAAACAACCAAAATGTTATTTAGAAGCATTTATATAATATGTCTTGCAAGATTCAATATAAAGATGCTAAAATTTTGTAGTATGAATGTCGCATAGTATACATACATTCTGATAAAATAACCTTACTAGATATGAAAAACCATTGATGATTAAGCAAAAGGCCTGCAACTATTAGAAGAAAACATTGAGCAAGTTTAACTTACCCAAGTCAGTATCTTTATCTGTACCATATTCAACAACAAACCCATGATGAAAATCCAAAGTTGAACCACCAATTTCAGCAAATAGAGCTGCATAACAAAGAATTAGTTAACTAGCTACTCTGCTTTATAAATAATTGACCAAATCATCATGTGATAAAGTTAAAAAGGGCAAACTTAACTCACCTTTGGACAAAGGACAGATAAAACCTTTCATAAGCTTGTCAAGCATGGTTTGAAGGCCAAAGTCATCAAGAACAACACCGAATTTATTCAGTATACTGGGACGTATAACTTGAAACTTTGTTGTGTTGACCCATTTCTCAAAATTTTCAACCTAAGGAAACCAAAAGTACATTTCAACATAGACAAATAGCATCCCAAATGATACACAGGTTTTCTTATTCCCCAAAAGTTGAAATGATACAATACCTCAGATAACAATAACTCACAGAAGTGTGGTTGAAAAATCTCAAAGGTAAAAATGCCTGGAGCAGGCTCAGACATTATACTTCTAAAGCTTTCTTCTGTGTTATCATTAATTGCTTTGAGAAATGTCGGGACAAAGAATGCTGTAGGATCAAGAAAATATATCTCTCGATGTCGAGGCTGCAAAATCATCACTTTTCATGTTAGTCTAGTTTAACGTAATTTTACAATGTTTAGGGGAAGTATGTTAGGATTTATTTTATTTTATTGGGTGTAGAAAACAGAGGATCTATCATTGATGTTGAAATAAATGAAGAAATGAAGTTCATTTCACATTGGCTTTATGAAATAAATATTGTGATCTTTTTCTGTTTGATTCCTTATGGGTTCTACATGAATTTCTAAACAACAAAACCATACCAATAATTAACATTTGGAGATCATATACCTTATAATTTGATATTATCCTCTGTTTGTATTCTCTTCGCTTTTGATCCTAATAATAAAACCATCATAAAATATGCACTGAAGTAATAACAAGAATGATAATAAATAAAATGATAATGGTGAGTTGAGTTTTATTATTTTACAATTTATTGACATAAATGAAAGCTTTTCGCAAAGAAACTTCCACTTTCCTTCCATAACTATATACTAAAGGTTATATGATGAAACTAAATACAAAATCTTATTAATAAAATTACTCTTGGTTAATGTGTTGCTCTTCCTTCACATCATTTCAACTTTCAAAAATTACAATCCAAAGTTCCTGAACTATTCATTAGAATCTTGTTAGAGTTTGAAATTGAATTTGGGGAGTGATACCAACTACTATACAACTCTCTAAGGTAGCATACATGTTATACACCACATAAAATGAAATTCATATTAGGAGAGAAAAAGATAAAAATTCAATGCACAGTTCAACACATCCCATCATACAATTGAATAATAATTTTAATATTTTTGTTACCATTTTGCTAAAAAAAAATCACTTTCAAACACAAAGTACCAATATAAATATAATTTTTAATTTACTCAAGAAAAAACATAAATATAGGAATCTCACTTATAATTTTTTATTATGTATTACAACAAATTTGATGAATTTATTTGATATATTTGACCATGCATCATATACTAAGAGTGGTACAAATATTTATCTACCACTAAGTATTCAAGTTGCAAAAATATTAAAAATATGTCCTTTATATAATGGATTTAACTAAAATTAATATAAGATGTTTACCTATAGCATTTTTTTTTCATTTGTTTCTTTTAATCCTCTTGTAAAAACACAAATAAGAATGCAAAAAAATTTATTAAAAGAGAAAGGAAGAAATCAAAATAATACTCTGGATCGTGTTTCTGGTGGTAGATAATCTTGCAAGATGTTATGCATGTACTTAATCTTATTGTCACGAGAGGTGTTGAGTATGTCTTTTGGAAGGTAATTTTCTAGTGAGCTGAATAGTTTAGCAGAGAAATCTAATTTCAAATCATCATATAACTCTGACTTGTGATTCTTGTGCGGATTTTGCATCAACCTTCCTTTTAGTTTGTGAGTACTAGAGTTACTTCGAAGCGACATGTCTTTAGTCCTGCATTTGGAAGAGTAAACATTTTTTCATGAAGGTTCAAATTAGGGAGTTTGAAATTTATAAGGAAATTAGGGTTTTTAATTTTTTAAAACTAGGGTTTTCAATTCTAAACTCAATAAGATACTTGTTAGTTGAATTCACTTAGAGTACGTGAAAATAGAGTGAAGACGAAGTTATACCTTGTTGAAGATCTTAATCGCATGATTATTCTTGATAAAGAGACAATTTTTTTTTTCTTTTAGACACTCTCCGCTTTCGACTATTCTTCTTTCTTTGATGTCTCGATTTTAAGTCTAAATTATATAGTTATATATATTTTTACATGCAAATACGACAAAAATTCTTTAAAATTAGATCCATTTAACAAATTATGATTATCTAATAAAAAATATATATTTTTTATTGTAATATATATATATATATATATATATATATATATATATATATATACAATACATAAATATATCATTTTGAGATATAAAATTTTTTTAGTTTAATTTCATTTTTTTAACTTCTTTTATTATAAATAAATCATATTTAAAATATAAACATAATAAAATAAATATATAAATATAAACATATAATACTTGATGAAAAACTTAATAACATGATTAACTTAATAAATAATATGTGTCTTTATTTTTTACTTTTTTTAATCAATACAAAATTTAGATTACTTAATTTTAATGAGATAATTTATTTTTTAATATTTAGTTACTCGTCTTGAATTAAAGTTTAAGTGATATTATCTATCTTTGTGTAAATATTCAAGCGATGAAGATATGAATGTTTAGAGAGTAGAGAGTTGTTTCAACGATAAATGAAATATCGAATTACTAATAATCAATCTTGATTTGATACATGATGAAATATCGAATTACTAATAATCAATCTTGATTTGATACATGAGTTACAAGAGAAGATAAGATGTGCAAAAGCAAAATCATGCTAAAATGGAATGAATTTTTTTTTCTATTAATTTTTTTTTTTGCTTTTAAACTATTGATTTCCTTGTGTCTTTAGTTGAAATATAGTTCATCAATATATGTTAATGAGATTTTTCCTTTTGTTGAGTGGTATAAAAGGGATTTATCTAAAGAGCAAACTACATTAACACTCCTTTTTCATGAAGAGACAAAAGGCTCTACTAGATCCTTCCTCAATTCACAACTATCCCAAATATATAAGCATATTCTAATATCACATTAAGTAAATAACACAAGATATAAAAAATATAAAACAAAAAATAAAGCTATTATTTATCACTGTCATATATATATATATATATATATATATATATATATATATATATATTAATGTTTCATAAAAAACTCTGAAGTAAATATCGGAAATAATATATTAATTAAAAAGCTATAATATAAAAAATCTAATTATTATCAATAATTAAGAATATATTACGTATAACAAACTTAACTCTTTTTATCTTATTTAAAAAATTAGAAAATTTACTTTAACAGTGGAGGAAAAGAGAACATGTATAAGAAAAAACATTTTTTATATAATAGTTTAAGAATAAAAAATAATTTTTTTAAAAATATACTTTAAAAAACATGTAAACATTACATAAAATAAAAAATAAATATTATTAACAAAATCAAACGGGTTAATAAAAAAATAAAAAAACTAACTAAAAACATGGTTTTGAGAAACATCTTCACACATGATAGATAAAACATATATGTTAAATAAGTAATTTTATACAAATATTCAAAATAAAAGAATATGCAAAGATAATACTTTTGCATAATCTGAAATATAAATAGTGTAATTTAATATAATAAGATAATGTGTAAAATAAAATGCATAATATGCTAAAAGGTCTTATAAAACATAGGGTTGCTTCAAAGTAAAAATACAGAGTGAAAATAAACAAAAGAAGACATTAAGAATTGAAAATATTTGATTTTCATTTAAAACTCAAAAAATGGACGCAAAATGATAATTATATAAACTAATTTGCTATTTAGTTTTTTTTTTTTTTCTGTATCCGCTGTCATTCTTGCCTCCCCGTTCCGCCACCGGCGCCGGAATATTTCCAAACAATGTTGTCGCAATCAAAACTCCTCCTTCTCCGCCGCCGTCACTGGAGGCTTCCGTCCACGTTTTCCTCGCGGCTGCGCTGCCACACCGATTCACCTTCTCCTTCTTTGCCAAACGATGCCGAATCGACGGTGACCCAAGTCGTGGAACATCTTCAAAACCCATGGAATCATTGGGACTACGATAAACTTCGTCCCTTTCTCTTCGACGACTCACACCATCTCCCTCATATCACTCGTTGCTTAAACTCCATTCCCAAAGCCCTCGATTTTCTTAATTACCTCAGAGACAGAACAGAGCACCACCAAGCCCTCTCTTTAGTGTTCGAGGGCGCTCTCGAACTTGCGAAGCGGCACCCTAATTCGCAAAAAAATCTTATCATGCTTCATAGTTACCGAAAAACCAATGGTGGTAACATTGCTCTCACTTCCAAATCTGCTTGCCTACTATTGCAGTGCTTAGGGAAGGCCCAAATGGTGGATGATTCGCTTCTTCTGTTCAAGGAGCTCGACTGTTCTTCCAAAAATTCTCGAATTTGCAATGAGTTGCTGAAGGGATTGTTCAAATCTGGTCGAACTGATTATGCGCTCCACGTGCTTGACGAAATGCTTGAACGGGATTCTGATTTTTCTCCCGATGATTTCACGAGTGAAGTTGTTTTTGGGGAGTTGGGGAAGTGGGAGCACCACGGAAGAAGCTTTGCTGATGAGGAAATTGTGGGTTTGGTTACCAAGCTGTGTGAGCATGGGGTTTTCCCTGATGCGTTTAAGCTTACCCAAATTATAGCCAAACTGTGTCGGCACAGGAAGAATGGTCACGCGTGGGAGCTTTTGCACGTTGTGATGAGATTTGGTGGTGCTGTTGCGGTTGAAGCTGCGTCCTGCAATGCTCTTTTATCTGGGTTGGGAAGGGAGAGGGACATTCAGAGGATGAATAAGCTGATGGCAGAGATGGAAGAGATGAGGATAAAGCCCAATCTTGTGACCTTTGGGATTCTTGTTAATTATTTGTGCAAAACTAGGAGGATTGATGCGGCATTGGAGGTGTTTGATAAGTTGAGAGGCAAAAGAGAAGGTAATTGGGTTGGTGTTGAACCTGATGTGGTCTTGTTTAATACATTAATCGATGGGCTTTGTAAAGCCGGGAGGGAGGAGCATGGTTTGAATTTGTTACAAGAGATGAAAACAAAGAAGCATTGTAGGCCAAATGCTATTACATATAATTGCTTGATTGATGGGTTCTGCAAAGCTGGTAAAATTGGTAAGGCTCGCGAGCTATATAGTCAGATGATCGAGGAAGGAGTTGAACCGAGTATGGTCACCCTCAATACATTGGTTAACGGTTTGTGCAAACATGGAAAGGTCAACAACGCAATTGAGTTTTTCAACGAGATGAAAGGAAAGGGGTTGAAGGGAAATGCTGTTACTTATACTGCGCTTATATCTGCCTTCTGTGGTGTGAATAATATTGATAAAGCCATGCAATATTTTGATGAGATGTTGAGTTCTGGATGCTCTCCAGATGCAATTGTTTATTATAGTTTGATATCTGGTTTAAGCACTGCAGGAAGGATGGATGATGCCAGTGTAGTTGTGTCAAGGTTGAAGCAGGCAGGGTTTGGTCTTGATGTAGCCTGCTATAATGTCCTGATCAGTGGATTCTGTAAGAAGAAGAAGCTGGAAAGAGTTTATGAAATGCTTGATGAAATGGAAAAAACTGGGTTTAAGCCTGATATTGTCACCTATAACACTTTGGTTTCCTACCTAGGTAAAATTGGAGATTTTGCAACTGCCAGCAAGGTGATGAAAAGGATGATTCTAGAGGGTCTTGAGCCTTCTGTTGTCACGTATGGAGCAATTATACATGCATATTGTTTAAAGGAGAATGTTGACGAGGCCATGAAAATATTTGAGGAAATGTGTTCTAAATCTAAGGTTCCTCCGAATAATGTGATTTACAACATCTTGATAAATGCTCTGTGCAAGAATAGCAATGTAGAAAGGGCTGTTTCTTTGATGGATGACATGAAATTAAAGGGAGTTCGACCCAATACAACAACCTATAATGCTATTTTCAAGGGAGTTCGGGATAAGAAAATGCTGCAAAAGGCATTTGAACTTATGGACAGAATGATTGATGACGCATGCAGTCCTGACTATATAACCATGGAGATTCTTACTGAATGGTTTGATGCGGTTGGTGAAATAGAAAAACTGAAACGTTTTGTTGAAGGGTATCCGGTGTCCTCTCCTTCAGCATCAACGCCAACTTCAATTTGTTTCTAGTATGCCTGAGTTAATGCAAGGGTTTCAGCTGTCAAAGCTTTACAGGATGTTATTCTTTGAGCTCAAATTTTAAACACCACGAAGCTGATTGGGTTTATGACAATGTTAATTTTTTTTTTCCTCCAAATTTTGAAGCTTTGACTTGACACATGTAAGTTAATTCACCAACTTCCTAAAAATACGAGGGTTTGGTATACACGCACACGTTCACCGGGCTCAAGACCAAAAGGTTAAGGTCAAAGGATGTCGTCTATCACTTTCATCCATCAACTTTCAATGACAACATTTTCCTTCAATCTTGAATTTTTTGAGGGCAGCTATAAGATAAGTTATCTAGCTGTATGCAAAATCTGATTTATATGACATATGGAGTCCCTTTAGCATGCAATTATAAAGTCAAATAGATTCATTCATTCTTTTATGCCCGCCCATGTTCCAGGGAGTTGGGGTATCCTGCGTTGTTATATCTCTCCAAACATGTTCAAAAGGGTGGCTCTGAATTTGTGGTTGTCTTCCGAACCATATGGCAGGTCTAATTCTTAGTGAAATATACCAAAACATTTGTTAACCATCAATGGAAGATGTACCAAACCATTCTGAAACTGATAAACTATGGCAGAAATTGGTTTGAGTAGGTTTAAAGCCTTTTATTATTATTATTATTATTATTATTATTATTATTATTATTATTATTATTTAATCAAAAATATTTTTGAAACAAATAAAAACATGAAGTTCCTATTCGAATTGTTGTTTGAATATTTATTTTATCCTGTAGAATACATTTTTTTATATTAAATGAAACTCATACTCAACTTTCTAACAAATCATAACTTGATATATCATGCAATACTTAATTATTATAGATGAGCCAAAAACTGTAAATTTACCATTCAATGTCTCATCTGATTTACAATTTTTATATGTTGCTCTGCCTAGTCTCATGGGGCGAAATAAAAAAAAAATAAAGTTAAGTAAAACGAAGAAGGGAATTAATAAAGAAGTTAATGCAGCTCCCAAAACTCAAACATTCCCGTTGACAAATACGACTATCACGATCTATACTACTAGTAATAAGTGTCCTTGATACATTATTCGATTGTTTGCTGCATTTTGCGCGGGGTTATGTAATTTTCCTCGTATTCCATTTAAATATCACATTAGAGTCGTAGGTTCAAGGTAAAGCTGGTTTACAGTTATTAGGTCAGGTGGTGCATTCGAGAGAAGAAAAACCATGTTTACAAGAAAGAAAAAACATATTTGGAACAGCGTACAAATCTTCATGCAACACTAATTGACATGAATGCTAATGAGAATAAATTTTAGATAACTCCACGTTAATGACACAAGTCTATCTGGTGGCATATACGTTATACATTCCACATTGGCAAGTATATCTAAATTTACATACTACATACTATATTTTCTGCGAGATCAACAGCAAATATTCAAAATCACTTGGAGAAAACTCAGCAACTAATGGATTCTCCAAAGCATAGACGTTCAGACTCCATCGCATCATCAGATAATTAAAAGTTCAAATATAACTTGATGATCTTTCATCAATTCATGAAAGTTCAAATATAACTTGATGATCTTTCATCAATTCATGAACAATGTTGACAAGTTTTGTGATGCTTCCGATAACAGACTAACTGTATACATAATCCACAAAATTACAGGATATCAAAATCATGTTTCAATAAGCATCCATGCTCTCCAAGTCACATACAGTCGTAAGATATACAAGTATGGGTAAGGTAAGCAAAATGCATGAACGGAATCGATAATTGCATTCAGACACAAATTATCAACTAAACTTCCACACACATTAAGACGGGCTTCTAAATCTGATGACTCGAGCACGTATCACAATCCATAGACTTTAAAAATTGTAAACAACAGGAGCAGCCAATGTAAGTCAAAATCCCTTAACCAAAGTCGCTAGAAAGAACATAAACTAAGAACATAAAATTAAAGCACGAAAGACAAAAAGGATAATGGATGATGATTCAGTTTCTCTCCAACCACATGTCTCATTGTTCAATCAACTCTACCTCACAGTTACAATATCATCAATCTTCAAAATCATCCGCACACACTCAGTTGCCAAAGTAATCGCACTTGTGCTCACAAGCAGGGGCTGCACCACATTCTCCTCCAAGATATTGGTAATCTGACCCTTCCTCACATTGATTCCAGCATTTATCTCACCCTGTGCATGACGATTCCTCAGCTCAGTAACGATGGCGATGGGGTTCAAACCAGCATTCTCCGCCAGAGTATAGGGAATAACTTCAAGTGCCTCAGCAAATGCCCTCACACAGTAACCCTCCATCCCATGCAACACCTTAGCCCAGGCACCCAACTGCCTGGAAAGCTCAATCTCAGGCGCTCCACCGCCAGCAATTAGAAACCTCTTAGCAACCAAACACCTAACAACACACAAAGCATCGTGCAAACTCCGCTCCGCCTCATCAAGCACAAGCTGATTAGACCCACGAACAAGCACAGTCGTGGTCTTCCCCATCTCCTTAATACCCTTAATCTTCACAATCTTTCCATCCCCAAGAGAAACCTCTTCTACAAGATCAGCATAACCCAACTTCTCAGCGCGGAAATGCTCAATGTTAGCAATGGGCAAACAATTCAAAGTCTTGGTAATGAACTCAATCTCATCCCTCTCCACATCCTTAATCACCAAAATCTTAGCTTTTGCAAGGTAATGCAAGGACAAATCAGTAACAGCATCCCTCAAAATACTCTTCTGAATCAACAACACATTACAACCAGTGGCCTTGATCTTCTTAATCATGCCAAGAATATAACTACGCTCTTCCTTCAAAATCCTATCCATCTGAGAGTAATCACTCACCACAATGCTCTGTTCGATGTCGGTTTTAGGCGGCGAAATCTGGAACTGGATGACGGCGATCTTGGCGTTCTCCATGCGGGTGGGTCCCCCAGCGGCGTGGCTAACCTTCTTGTCAAAGACGAGACCTTTCACGAGCTCCGTATCGTCAACGGTGCCACCAAGCTTCTTCACGATCTTCACGTCGCGGAGGTCGACCATGTCGGGCTTGGCGGCATCAACAACGGAGAGAACAGCGTCGACGGCTAGGGGCGCCAGGAGCGTGGAGTATTGGCTCACAACCTTACTGTTGAGAGAGGTGCTGGCGGACTTCACGAGCGAGTCGCGGTCCGAGAGTTCCACGGGAACAGCCATGGCGGTGAGGACGTCGACGGCTTTAACGGCTGCCTTGTGAAGGGAGTCGGAGACGACGGTGGGATGGATGCCGTGGGAGAGAAGGAGGAGACACTGCTCGAGTAGGGCACCAGCGATAACGACGACTGTGGTGGTACCGTCGCCGGCGGCGGAGTCCTGCGACTTAGAGAGCTCAACGAGCATCTTGGCAGCGGGCTGAAGGACCTGCATCTTGTTGAGGATGGTGGCGCCATCATTGGTGATGATGACCTCATCTGAGGAGGTAGAAATCATCTTGTCCATGCCCTTGGGGCCGAGACTGGTGCGCACCGCGTTGGCGACGGCGCGTGCGGCGACGATGTTGGCGTGGCGGATGTCCTCTTTGCGCTTGTTGTCGACATAGGATTCCGTCTTGGATGATCGGTGTTGAGGAGTTGCAATTGCCGCCATTGATGATTGTAGAAGGGGACAGCCGGAGGAAACCCTAGATTTGAAAAAAAGAGGGAGTGGGATGAAGAGGAAGAACAAAAGAGTGAGATGCGTTTTTCAGAGTAACCTGAGGAAGTGGGGGGTTTTTGCAGTTATCTTTTTTCTTTTCTAGGGAAGTCTAGGGTTTTGTTTAACTTTTTTTATGTTTTTATTTTCTAATTTATTTAAGCCAATAGAATTTAATATATTTTCATAAATTATCAATTGAATTGAAGGGAATTTAAAATATCATATATCTTTTTTAAAATGTTATTTAGTAATTTTCAAATAATAGTTAAGAATAAAATTATATTGAAAGAGAGAAAATAGATTAATAAATGTAACAGATCTTGATATCGTGTTTGACTTAGGCCCAATAATTTGATTTATGCAGCCTTATTTACAATCAACAAACATAATTAGTAGATATTTTGTTTTGCATATAAGTAAAATAAGATTACATATAGATTATTAGTAGAAAATTCTTAGTTTAAAGCAACTATTGATTACACATATCATTAATGGAATAATACTAGACTCAAATTTTATGGAAAACATATGATTAGAAGAAGAAATTTCAATAAAATTAACTAATCGCATCTCTTAATAAAAAATTAATCATTGATAATAGTGTGGATATTTTATACTTATCTCATGTTAATTAAAATAATTTACGCAATTGTGATGAATAAAATGCAAATTTTATTGAAAAAAAGAAGACATAATCAAATCGCTGAGTATTAATAAGAGTTTGTCCAAGAATAAATGAGTTTAGTTTTTGCAAAATATATTTTAAAAAATGACAACAAATTTAAAATACATTGAAGTTCTAAATTAATAATAAAATATATAAACCGTTTAAAATGTATAATGTCCTTATTAAGAGTTAATGAATAAAATGGTAAATAAAAAGCATAAGCAATTTTTAAATTAGTTTATTTCAAATATTTCATTTTATTATGAAGTTTATTATTTTGACTTGATCACAACATGTGAGTAGTTCTCATACTTTTTATAAATAAACTTATAATATTTGATTTATTTAAGCTTAAAAAAATTAAGAAAATTCATTTTGTTAATTATTATTTACTTATTATTGTAAATACAATTTTTAAATAATTATTATAAGGATTAAAAAAACTCAACATTTTTTTTTACTGTGAAACTTGATTTTATGAAGCAAAAGATAAGAAGATATCAGAAGAGTGGGGTTTAGGGATGCAGAAGTGTGTGTCTGCGCAGTGCAACCCCTCTCAACTGAACCTTTCACTCCGCAGTCACCACCACCACCACCACCATGCCTATGGCATATTCCGGCGTATTTAAGGGCTTCATCAGATTCAAAGCTATGTCGCGGCTTCGTTGCACTCCTCTTACACCTTCTTTTTCTTCCATTTCTACCACTCATTTCCACCGCACCGCCATTCGCCTCCGCTCCTCCTCCACCGCGCTTCAAGTCGTCAACGTCAAGCGCCAGGGGCCCGTTACGTTGCCGTTTTGGCACCAGCGCAGCTCCAATTATGGTCGTTTTGCATACCAGGACGTGTCCAGTGATGATTCCGATGTTGAATTCGCGTCTTCTCCCTCTCACAGCCAACAAGTAGTTCGTCACTTTCCATTCCCTTAATCTATTCCTCACCACACGCACAGTTTCTTCCATTTTTTAAAGTTTTCGGTTCCTGTTAGGGTGATTCAACACTCGAGAACATTGACGAGTGGAGATGGAAGCTGACCATGCTTATGCGGTCCAAAGACGAACAGGAAGTGGTGTCCAGAGAGAAGAAGGACCGTCGCGATTTCGAGCAACTTTCCAATTTAGCTAACAGGATGGGTTTGTATAGGTAGTTACCTATTTCGCATTAGTCTGCGTTTTGTTTGTTTGGTTATTTATTTATTACATTTCTGAATGGATTTTACTCTGGCAGCCGGCAATATGCAAGAATTGTTGTGTTTAGCAAGGCGCCTTTGCCAAATTACCGCCCTGATTTGGATGATAGACGCCCGCAAAGAGAGGTATTTATTGTTTTGCAATTTAGGAGTTTGTCTTGTTTTTTTGTTTCTGGATTATTGTGTAAAGTAAAAAGGAGCCTACTACTCGATTTTAATTTGTTTGGATGACCTTGATTAACTAAATGAACCTGGTCCAAGAATGTAATCGGAGTTAAGTTTTAGAATTACAGTTGCTGGCACGTTAGTTTCTCAGCTACGCTGATAGAGACTGTTACTGTTTGTGGTAGTGGGAACGGGAGGTTGTAATGGTGTGGTTGATGGCAGTGGAAATAGTGACTGACAGGGATGCAAAGGTAGTAGAGTAGAGAGGTTGGTGGGTAATATGTTGTTCAAGATATTGAACTTAAGGTGGCTACAGCTGTTTTCTTTAATTGTTAAATTTAGGATGCGAAGTGAATATTTTTTGCTTTCTTGCAATTTAATTTTCTAGTCAATGAGTTAGAAGTTAAAAATATCATAGTGTGTTTCTTATTTTTAGACGTTTGTATAGGAAAATGATATAGAATCTAGGTGTGAAAGAGCAAGAAACAGAAATACAACGAACAGAAGAGGGCTTCATATGAGCAAAGATTACAAGAAATTGCATCAAACTTATAATTAATTTCTGCCAAGCTACCTTGTTGTCAATAGATGCATCAGATCCTGAAAGCTGTTTTTATGACATGTACAGTGGTGCCCATATCTGTGATCATGTCCAAAATTGATGTTGGCATCATCCCTTCTGCATCTTAGCCCTTGAAATTTATTAGAAATGGCCTCCACTATCTATGGTAGTTCACACATCATATCCTGTGATTTGTTTCTGTCCATAGTTGAAAGGATTCTGGTCTAGTAGCAGTGGACAGCTAGATCTCAGACCACTATATAGAATTTAGGTGGGAAAAAGAAAGAAACAGAAGAGACAATAGAAAGAAAGACAGAAAGAAACAGCAGGACAGAAAGAAAGAGGGATGGGGGAAAAGAAAACAAAATAGAGAGGATAGAGGAGAGAAACAGAGAAGGAACTGTGCACTCCACTTCTGTTATTATCCTTCTGTATCAATCTTCATGCAGTCTGTCAAAATACAACACCCATACCTGATTTATAGGCAACAGCATACAATCCTAACTAACAGCCACTGACTAACTATTTGAAAATTTGAAAACAAGAAACAAATTGAATATAAGATAACATTTTTTAAATTAAAAATGAAAACAGAAAACATTTTCTTAAATCAAACGGTTCCTCAGAGTCCCAATTTCAATTCCAATCCCCCTGTTAAATTTTGAGCACAATTCCAAGTACCAAAAAGTGCAATTAGTTGTTAACAGGTAACAATTTCTTTACAGTTTTAATACTATAACTTTTCATATTTGGTGATATCTCTAACCTCTATAACAAGTATCCTGGTTGATTTTGTGCAGGTAGTCTTACCATTTGGTGTTCATAAAGAAGTAGATGCCCATCTCCTTGCCCATCTTTCACAAAAGGCTACAAACAAGTGGGGTTCTTTGAATGATTCCTTGCACAAATCAAGTGATACTATAAGCATTCCAGCCAATGGAGGAATGTATGAACAGCCAGAGCCCATGACCCACAACAGTGTTGTCAAGGAGAAAATCCTTCAACGAAGAAGTTTGCAACTGCGTCATCAGCAACAGGATTGGCAGGTTTATTTTTCTTCCAAGTCTGGAGTGCATTTCATTTGCTGTTGTTTTCTCAGGTGGCATTCAGTAATTTTGTATTTTAGTATTTGACTCTAATCCCATTCATAGTGTGGGTGTAAATTCATGAAAGTTATAAATAGTAAATAGTTATAATGCAGCCATGTTATATACTGCATTTGTCAATTTTAAAAATGACAGGGTTTTTTCCTTGATCTTTATCACAACACCTATATCTTTTAATTTTTTCAGACATTTTTAATTAATAAGAAAACTCTATTGACTAATTAAATCAATTATGGTAATATGGCTATTTGAGTGCAGTTATTCCATCTTGCTGATTAATGGACAATTAATGAATATTCTAGATTTTGATAGTTGATTTCACGTTATCTGGTTTCTGACATTGATATATCATGATGATAGCTGTTTATTGATCTTCTCTAGCAGTGAATTTTTCTGTACTTACTTAGATGTCCTTTTTTATTATTTTATCCTTTATAAATTTTGTAACAGATGTTGGTTTACCTATAGGAGTCTCCTGAAGGGCAAAAGATGCTTGAATTTCGTAGAAGTCTTCCCGCTTTCAAAGAGAAGGATGCATTTTTGAAAGTTATTTCAGAGAATCAGGTGATAAATGAAAAATGATGACCTCTGTGATTTCTAATTTAGTATTATGTTCCTTCAATGATTTTATTTTACTTCTGAAAAAGAAAAACAAAAAGGCTTTGGATTTGATGCTTCATTACTTTAATTGTGGTCAAATCATTGATAAATAAATACATATTTTTAATTTTATACAATATAGAATGTAATAAATTAATTAAAAAACATACATGTCTTGCAAACACAATTAGTAGTGAGAGTTAAATTGCTAAAAGAAAATGTAAATCGCATAGATATTATTAAAATAAATAAATACATATTAACTTGTAACTTGTAATAAGTAATAAGATAATTTGCATAAAATATTATTCATTCACAATTTAAGTTTGCATAAAGACAGAAATGACACACTCTTTGCAGCACTATCTAATATATTTTCAGAATGAAGAATTGAAGATGAACCGGTTATTATGTAAATTGGCTGGTTCAAGTTGGTTTACATGGGCTGACCCCATTTCAACTGTTAATTAATCACTGAGTTGAATTGGATAGACCAAACTGGTCAGCAGACCAGTTCCCACTGCTCTGCCCGTCCTGCCTTTTTCCGGTCACCGTCCGGCCATTTTACGGTCACCGTCCGGCCACTTTTTGGCAACCGTCAGTTCCCCGTCCAGTCACCTTTTTTTTGTTGCCGTCCGACGACTTTCTGACCACCTTCCAGT